CTGTTTTAAATATTATTGAAGAATTTTCGTCTGTATAATAAAAATGGATGAACTTATACAATTGTTTGTGCGAGGGATGTTTGCTTGCAAACGAGGAGTTTAAAGAAACTCTTTCTACATTTTTCAGTAAAAATCACGCACCGAGCTCGTCCGAAATCGAGGTTAGGTTCAATCTCGTGATTCGATAAAGTCAGCACGAGTAAATTTCAATTTCCTGAAATATATCCGTAGTACGTATAGAGGATCTGAAAGAGGGAAAAATCTGTCCCTCCTTTTCTTTTTGCCCCCTTCATACTTTGGATATTAGGGAAAGTATTGGAAATGTATAGGGTCTCGTAAATAATGGATAACCTTGGTATTGGTGGTAGAAAGAATGAACTATCTTAAAGACGCTATTTACTCCAAAAATTGACATAACTTTGAAAAATGACACAAAAGTGTGAAAAAAACAGTACGCTTTAGCAACAAATTTTGTAGTACAGTTACTCTTAGTTACACTTAGTATAACTCTTGAAGAGTATTATGAAATAAATAGAATTATAAAATCGACAAAATTCATCAATTTTCATGAAATTAAAAGAATGTCAAAGTTTCGAAACCAAGAGACTTTTTCAAATATATGTACATGTTGTCCATATCACAATTTTTTTTATAGCACTAAAAGCTAGAAATAGCGTATGTAATTCTTCGTATTGGATTCTCTTCATTACTGATCACATATTTTTCTTTTAAAACCGTACATTTTATATAAATGCTCCGTGTCATATTTTCTTATCCGCAAAGATAACAGCTGTAACGCGTTACGTTCAAAGCCCCGTGCACATAAAAGAAAATGCTTCCTGCTACCAGCTACATACATCTCTCAATTTAACCTGTCGTTCCAAACAGGTCAATTTAGTTTTCCCTCACCGAGACGTCTACGTTACTTGATAGAGGGTCAAAAGACTCTGTTCCCAAGTTTCGCTTAATGTTCATGGGACGAAGGTTACCCGTACAACTACAACAGAGACCTAACGGGTTTTGCGATAAACTTAGGGTCATGATTCCAGTCAGGTTAAAGTGTAAAATGGCAAAGAACAAAAGAACGTACGAACAATAAGAAAAAGCCTGGAATTACATTTTTAAGTATGTTAATATTTGCACGTTTAAGCATGTTTGTATTTGTAAATCTACATCGTCATTTGTTCAACCAGAATCTTATGTTTATCTATGTATGTTTATAGATGAGGTCAGTATACAATTATTTTTCACTACCATTCTCTGTTGTAACTTTGACTGCGTGTTTTCTTCCGTCGGACTTCAAATTACTATATGAAGAAGTAAAAAGTTACTTTTCGGAATTGAAAGATACCGGAAATGATGTATCCGTTCTGTTAACATGCCTGTATTATGTTGCTATCTATTTTCAAAATGGATCAGTTACAACTTCCCATTTTCCGACTGGACCCAGAGAACGTCCTTAAACGTACCATTCGATCTTTCTATTCTAATTATAAACTTGAAAAAGGTGTCTATTGCTAACGCATCTAATTGTATTTCCTTTACAAATTCCCGATAAATTAATACGTTTAATTAATAGATTAAGAGTTACAGCTTTTCCGAGTCCAAATATTGGAGACTGATTATGATGGTGTAGATGTTGTTATTCACAGTTTTGTATCAAAATAAATGGGTATCGCAATTTAACTGTTCTATTATTAAAAAGTAAATATTTCCTAAGCATTGTCCGCACCTTTTTGTACACTAAAAGTGTCGTTTGAAATCCTTAATTTTGTAAGCACATATTCTTCAAGAAGAGCGTAACAAGATCATAAAAGCACCAATTTTGTGACAATTTCGTACTTGAATAATTTCTCACAACCCAATTGTGATAATAGTGATATTATGTCATGATACCATGCATAATGATGAAATAGTACTTTGTGCACCAAGGGCCGAAAATGGGTCTTTCCGGGCGAGGTTGATGTTTGAGCACGAGTGGCAGTCGAGGGCGCCACAGGCGCCCGAGATGAACACGAGCTGCTCAGAACATCATCCGAGCCTGGAAAGGTCCATTCGGCCCGTGTCGCACACAATATTTTTCATAAAAAGGGCATAAAAAAGACCATCTTTCGTCGCCTACAAAGCGGATTGAAAATAGAGTTTTCCCGCCCTAGGGCGGTAAAATCGAGCTTACGCCGGGCGGTAAAATCCATTTTACCGCCCTAGGGCAGGAAAACTCTATTTTCGGTCCACTTTATAGGCGCCGAAAATGGTCGTTTTCGGCCTCGTGTTATGAAAAAGAATATTACAGTGGGCAAGCTTACTCAGCTGTCAATTCTTCAGTAGTTCTTGGTTAAGTATTGTAANGAAATATTATATATATGTATCTACATGTATATATATAAGTATATATATATGTATATATATGTATTTATATATAAGTATATAGATGTATATATATATAAGTATATATATATATGTATGTATATGTATATATATAAGTATATATAT